CTTTTATGCATTCTGAGTCCTGGTTTAAATCAGACTAAAATATTTGATTATTCAGTGATGATTTCCAGAACTTTATTCTCCGCTGTGTAGATGTCCCATTCCTGCAAACACTTAAGTCATGGAAGAAGTCCTATTGATTAGAATGGAAAAAAAAAAAAACTTGAGACAGTTCAGTTCCTCATGTATGCTTGCATCAGCATGAGGTTGGTTGCTCATTCATCTTACTCTGTCACATAGTCTCTATTCTCCCTTCGCTGTATTTTTAGTTACTTGTCAAAATGAATAACTTGTATTTTTAATGTATGTGCAAACTTTCTATATATAATGCCTGTGTGGGGGTGCTAAAATGTTTAAAAAGCTGTGTTGCACTGCTTGTTGTGCAATGTAAAACTTTACCCTCCGAAGTTTCTCCGCCCTCTTTAACAGTTCCCTTATCTTCTTCCATTAATGCTTCTCATTTGTCACTTAAATATGTTACTGATTCCACTGGCTCCACCCATGACACGGGGAACAGTGGCAGAAAGTCAGGGCAGAAAAAATTCCCCTTTCAAGGGGATGTTGCTTTCAGATAGTTCACAGGTGAGTTAAGTATTAATTTGTAGTATGTTCATCATGCTAAACACATGGCATTTGGAGACGGATGATTACTACCTTTTCCAATAGCTGCATATGATTAATTTTTTATTCCTGTGAATTTACTGTGTGCAGTGTCTACGCTACATCTGATGAAACCCACGTACTTATTAGCTGATCTTTGAGCCAGGATGGCTGATATGCATGCAAGACAATCCTATATAATCTCCACTTTAAAAAAATGGCAGAGATAATCTAAGCAGAAAATAACCTCTAGACCTTGATTAGTCTCACTAAGAGGAAAGACAGAATTACGGAACTGCCTAAAGCAACACTTGGCTTTGCTGCATGTCAGCTATACTCAGCCTGTTAACTATTACAACCTAAATTTAATCAGACGGGGTTTATCTAACGGTGGTACTGATGTGATCCCCATTACAGGAGCATCTATGCACCTCAGCGTTTTTACTGTGATTTTCCTCCTAGGTGTCACTGAGGTAGGGAAGTCCTATTATTCCCATTTTGAAGATGGTTCAAACAAGGGTCCAGACACCCTAGTTTGCCCAAAGTCACACCAGAAATCTTGCAGTGAAGCAGAGGACTGAACTGTCATCTCCTAGACCAGTGGGGGCCAAGTTTTTGGCAGGTGTGCCACAAATGAGCCCTGCACCCTACATGAGTGCTATTTTGACCCCCTTCCCTGCTCTGCTCCATGCCCTATGCTCCCTTCCTGATCTGCCGCTCGACTTTCTGCTTCGTCTCCCGTGCTCCCTGCCCAATCTGCCACTACGCTGCCTGTACCCTCCCCAACCTGCTACATGCCACGCACACAGGCTGTCTGTGCCACTGGTGGTACACGTGCACCAGGTTGGCCACCCCTGTCCTAGTAGCATCTTTCCTGTTCAATCGCTGGGCACAGAAGAAGATAGGTATCATTTTGTTTCACAAAGGATCCTGGAAAATCAAAGTCCAGTGAAAAAACAGAAGGTAATAATGAGTGGGAAAATGGTACCTCCATCAGCATATTACATGGAAAACCCTCTGCAGCGTGTGAACATGGGAGAGCCATTTCATACTCTCCAATCACCTCTGTCACTGCTATCTCCTTATGCAGCACACTGTTATTGGCCCTTAGTTCCTTATCTGAAGCCTGATGTGATAAGAGATATAAATGGTATATTCTGCTGCTTCTCAGCTGGGGCTCCTGGAGTACCATGAGGTCCTTTTAAGGGTGTAGTGAGATGCTATGCACTATTAGCACTGTTAGGTGTGCAAACATGTAAGGATGATTCACAAGAGAAACCCAGAGCTTTCAAGTAGGAATCCATAGTATCAGACACCTTCTACCCCGTTACAGTCTTTCTGAGGTCTTCGCAATAGAAGAACTGCTCTAATATTTTTTTGTAATCAAGAAGCGAGTGAAAGTTAAGAGCTGGCATTTCTGGAGTGTGCCAAGGGGTGCCTCGATTCTAAAAAGGTTGAGAACCATTGGTTTGTTCATATAATCAAGGACCTGTTCATAACCAAGTGTCCACACACTAAAATTTCCCAGACCAGAATAATACTGACATGAAAGTCAAATATAAATCTGCTTTAAACTTGAGCTGGAATATTCAGGACACCTTTCCTAATCTTTAAATAGGAAGAGATTATAAATTCCTAACGGTGATAACAAGTAGTCTGAAATAGCCTCCGGTGATAAGACTTCTTGTCTAATAGGGCTCTTCTGCCTCACATTTTGATGATTAGTCAGTCTCTGTTTCACCACCACGGGGAAACACAAGGTGAATTAGGGGAAAAAGGTCAAGTTATCATGAGAAAGTTGAATCCATCCTCAGTGGACAACATTTAATAGCTACAGACCATTTCAAGCACAAAACCCCAACGGGGAATATCTCAGTTAAGGGCAAAGACAAAATAAAAATAAATAGATAAATACAAAGGTTGCACTGAGATCTTAGAAAATCATGAGACAGATGTTCATAGACTTTAATGAGCAGTCTTGGCTCCAGACCTTTCTTGGCACAGCTCGTTAGATATAATATTTTTCCTCTAGTAGCACAAGGTATGGCTCTGGTTAGCTAGATGCTGATGATTTTTCCATTTAAATAATACTTTGACAATGAAGAAACCAGTTCATAATCGGCAATTTGATGGATTAGGTCATGGGGAATGACACATTTTTGCAATGGGGAAAGCAAAAAGAATACTACAGTTTAAATGAAAAACAACTTTTAAAAGCTGGAACAGTGAATCCAGCAAGGCACAAACTGTGGGGCCAGTCACTTCATCTATTTTTTTTTTATTATTATTGTCCTGAACAATAAGCCGAAGAAAAAGGACACGAAGCAGGTTTTGTGGTAACAATTCCATGCCTCAGAAGTCAGTTTGCTGGGGGTCAGGCCACTTTCCAAAAGTTAATTTTGTTCTTTTTCTCCTCTTCTCATACATTAATTTATTAGAAGGGGAAAATTAAGATTCAGTGTGATGATATACACATGCAATTGTTAGCTTTCCAACGTGTAATGGAAATGCAACCAGGCCAAAAACACACATGAGCCCTGCACCCTTGCAGGTTAGGAGATAACCGTATCACTGTAACAGAAGCCGCTGAAGTTAGTGGAGGATGAATGCTATCCTGTGGGTATTGGTCTTTTGCCATTGGCCCATATTTTCTGGTGTGGTCAGGAAAAAAAAAAACTATAGTTGTCTTTCTAGCATTTCCGGGTGTCACATGCACTGGGCTTTTTCAGTACATTGATTTTTATGGGTAAGAATTCTCTTGCCCAGTTTTCTCTCCTCAAGACCTCAAATTGCAAATTTGCCTAGTGCAAATTCTTCCCAGAAGGCAGGAAAAATACTAGCTAACCATCCCTTGGGGTAAATGTTCCTATTTTAGACCATGCCGTCTCATTACTTGGGTCCAGATCCTGGTCTCAAGAAGGGAAATGGAGAAACCCAGTTAGTTTCAATGGGAGCAGTGTCTGGCTCTTGAAATGAGGACACTTAAGAATCTCCTATGGGCAGGGTGCATACATTGTATGTTCTCTCCTACATCAGTCTCCAACAGCAATTAAAACTCTTCATGTTGGAGCCAGCTACAACCCCCATTGGATGTGCCTCTGGTGCTTCATGTGTCCTATAAGAAACTCCCTTTCAAGCTGGCCATCCCAGGAAAGAGCATCGTCTTTCCAAACCCAAGCGTGATACCCGCTGCGAAAGATAAATCTTTGCACATCTGATGGTGCAGGAACCCTGGGCTTGCTCCCATGCTTGAGTAATTTAGCGCTGTATCAAAACACCTGCCTGCATGTCACTAGGAAGGCAGCTTCACATGATAAAGTACAATTTGGCCTTTCAAACAAGATTCCTTTTTTTCCTCTGTGGGAGGAGAACAGATGTCCTGAACATCCAAATAGACTCCTCTTTCACCCCCCACTTTGATTACGCATTTTATATTTCTAACTTGTGAGCACAAAAACTCTTTGGAGTCAATCAGCACTGCTCCTCAATCACCTACAGTGCATTGTTTCATTGACAACAGTCTCTTCCTACTTCTGTTCAGGATAATTACTTCACTTGCATCAGTTGCAAATCACTGGCATGTAGCCACCTACTAAAGTTTGTGCAGGTCAGGAGATAACCCTCCCCTGAAGAGGAATGACCTTGCAACACTACTTACCATGCGCTAAGCTGCTCGAATGTGTGTCTGTTTGCACTTTAAGTGCACACAGTACACTTTCAGTTGAACAGGTGATACTGCCCATCCTCTGCAGGATGCCTGCTTACTGGGAAGTGACAGATTTAGCTAGGATTTTAATCAGTGTCTCTATATATTTATTGCACCCAACACCACAACAGCTAGCAGATCAACACAGCGCTGCCCTATCTCCACAATGGTGCTTTAACTCCCAGAATATCTAATCAGGCTCAGGCTACTACGATCAACAGGAGGTCTGTTTTTTGGGGGGTTTTTTTATCCTCCCTATAAGAAAATCCTTCTTCAGTATGGTGACCGCACTCTCCTGGCCTGTGCCAGCACAGACCTTGCGCACAGTGGTCAGAGATACTGGGCCCCATTAAGAGGCAAGATGGCAGTGCTAACCTTGCCAGCAGACACTTATAAATAGCGCTTGTTGTCAACTGCAGTGCAGGGGAGATTTCCAGAGGAAAGGCAACCAGCTAAAATAAATAGGGCAAAGCCGAGAAAATATTTATAAAAACGCTAAGGAACAACTAAATGTCTTTAAAAGGCTTTTGGCTTAATATTTAACCAGCATTCCTGACACACGCCCTGCTCTGCCTCCAAAACAAAATCCAACCTTTGGATTAAGAAAGCATCAAGGAAGTGACTGCCGTTGAAACAGGCACTTATCTGTGGCAAATGACCCGTCCCTTTTTGTGCCGGGTAGGAAATCAGCACTTACCTGAAGAGGCTGACGACTCATAGGAGCTTCTGTCCTTCCGATTTGTCCTGAAGGGCTGAATGTCTTTTTCCCTGTACGTTCCAAACCCTTCAAAGCTTCTCCTTTTATTCCCACTTGCATCGGTGTCCCGCTTTTCACTCGAGGAGTTCATGTCACCGAACATGTCCAGGGACTCTGACCTCGCGTTACTCTCAGCGTTGCTGGAGTATCTCTTTGTGCAAGAGTCAACAGGATCACCGCTCGAGTCACTTTTATCTTTACTGTGTGTCCACTGCTGGGCATCAGAAAGTGATAGTGTAGACAGCGTATCCACTTCAAAGTTGCTCTTTGAGCCTTTGTGTCCGGTTTCACAATGCTGGTGCTTCTGTTTCTCCTTATGCTTGCTTTTCTCGTTGAGCAAGGAGAGGTCTTTGTCTGAGTTGCTCAGCCTTTCGTTGATCGCGTGGCTGGAAAAGCCAGTGGACTTGCTAGCAAAGAGACCGCTCAGATCATCGTGTGTCCCCAATATCCGCTCATCCTTATGCTTGTGCTTATGTTTGTGTTTCCTTTTGTGAAGTCGGCCACTAGACAGGCTGGTGGCTCCAACCTTCGGAGGAGCCAAGGAAGACTGCATGTCTCCAAGACTCATTCCCACAGGTGTTTGCAAGTGCACTCCATGTTTTGCTTTGTGTTTGGCAGTGGTGGACATCTTCATATGAGAGCTTGCATGGAACTGGGGCGGGGGCACCGTAGGTCTCATAAATGGAGAAGCCGCGCCGAGCGTGTGAGACAGGTACAAAGGAGCTGGATATTGACCGTAGTAACCAAGATTCATCATAGGCATTGATGTGTAAGGCATTCCATAGGGTGCATAGTAACTCCCACTGGGAATAGGGTAACCGAACCCTTGTAAAAAAGGCACCTTTGTCATGGTGTCATTGGTTTTGGCAGGTCTACCACGCTTCTTCTTAGACTTCATGTCAGAGGTCCTGCGAAGATAGAGCAATGGGTCATACTGGATATATGGCACAGGGTAATAGTGATCAAAATTAATCCTGAAGATGCTGGGATATGGATTTTCATGATAAAATGTGTAGCTTCTATGGGAAATCCTGAACACTTGAAACTTGTTGATGAGCTCCTCAAGGTCTGCAAGAAACTGGAGGTCATCTCTGTTCTGCAGGCTTTTCCGTTTCCTCTTGTGCTTTGGTTTTTTAATGCTCTCATGCGAGAGAAAGTTATCAACGATGAGATGCTTCTGCCGGTGACCATGCCTGTTTTTTGTGCTGGTGTCTGACGGCATGGTCTCTGGATTGTCCAGGGTGCAGAAATCAAAAGAGTACCTCCTGCGGGATTCTGAACTTTTCTCTGCTTGGTCAGAAGTGCTGTTGTTGTCTGTACCTATCCCACTGTCACTGGGTATGGTTTCCTCGCTGTGAGACTCACTCACTGGTGACAAGGTGACTTCTTTCAGCGAACCGATTTCACACAGATGGGAAGGCGAGTTTGCCATTAACCTGGGTGGGGACAGCTTCCAAGTTCCACTGTGCATTCCTTTCTGGGTTTTTGTAGGAAGAGCACTGATGGGTTGAAGATTTGGCATAGTTTTTAACTCGGAAAAATTCGTTTCAGTGCTTGCAGGGCTAAGGTTGCCATTAGACCCCACTAACTGTGTTGAAAGCGGATGAATAGCTGCTGGTGACGATGCCACAAGTGACTGCAAGTTGGAAGGCACTGCTGGGTTTTCTGGCTGGCTAGAAACAGGCCTTGAGTGCTTGATGGCTGTCTTAGGTTCTTCTGGCGGAGGCTGCAGCTCTGCTCTTGGCTTCCTGCCCCGTTTTTTGCCAATGTAGATAGTCCCCCTCTTGCTGACATTTATCTGCTTCCCTAGCCTGGCATCGATGGTCGCAGCCCCTGTGCTAGTTGGTGGCTGTGTTTTTGTCTTCAAAGCTATGTTGCTGGAGCAGGAGGACAAGATCTGATTCAGGATGTTCTTTCTCTTCAGGGTCTTCATCTTGTTGATGGTCTTGATGGTTTTCTTATCCAACACACCGAGCTTCCCGACCTTTTTGTGAAACTTCAGTTCGCTGATGGATTTGTCGTCGCCTGGGACCATCTGGGCCAACTTGGCCAGGTTTCGTCTCCGCTTCCTTTTCTTTGTGCCTGGAAATTCTCGATTGATCGGACTGACCGGGCTGGTGGAGGTTCCCTCGTGAATAGTTTCAACCGTGAGCAAAGGCTGTTTCTTTGGTCGTCCTCTTTTCTTCTTGATAGGCGTAATCACAGTCAGACTATCTGTGTTGGTATACAAAGGGCTGGATGGAGTGATGGGATAGGCTGAAGGAGGCTCCACCATCAGCTTCTCGGACGTTGTCACAGAGGTTTCCCGAAGGATGTTTTTAGGTTTGCTGCAGGTCCATCTCCGCTTTGCTGCGAGTTTCGGGTGCTGGATCTCTGCTAACTTGCTCGATGGAGGAAGGTCGACGGGTGCTGAAGCGGGCATCATAGCTGCAGATTTTCTGAGCCTACTCGCACTGCTTGGGGAAGCTTTGTCAGCAATCCCGCTGCTTTCAAGAGCTACCAATGGGGACTCATTCTCAATCACTTTCCCTTGCTTTGTGGCTCGGAAATCTTTTTTATTTCCCTCAGGTTGTGAACTAGTCCTGTTTGCTAATTCACTGCTCAGGGGGAGTCCAGAAGGCAGGCTTTTCTCCTGGATATTTTTGTCTGCTGCAGGTTTTGCAGACTGCCTTTTTTTCCTTTTGTGACTTGATGCATCTGCTGTTGGAGTCTTTATCGGGATAGTAATTCGTACGTGACTGGCGTCACTCTCAGAACCGTTGGCAGAACTGGGATTCTGCTTTGCGGGTGATGCTTCTCGCATACTGTCCATTGAATAAGATTCCTTTTTCCCTTCCACGCTCTCATGGGCTTTGCTCTCAAATGCTTTCTGAGCACTTTTCACCCATTCTACATCTGAGTTTTGGATGGTTTGAGTTATTAAGTCCTTTTTGCTAGACTTCTTCTTCGTGTTCCCAGAGGGTTGATCTGGGGCCTCTATTTGCCCGGGTCCCTCTTGATCCACTAGAGGATGGAGCACATTGCACTCTGATGGATTGCTAGGCTGGGATGCGGTGGCGAGGTTATTGGGTGATGGAACTGCACTGCAAACAGCATGCTCTTTGCTACTGGTTGACAACTGGGCCCACGTGCTGCCTGCACCAGATTTCTTCGCTTGGGACTTGCTGAAGGAAACAACTGGCTCCAGAGCAGGAACCTTGGTAGCACTGGTTGCTTCTCGACTGGATTCTGTATTGATGAAGCAACTCTGAGAAGCAGATCCAGCCTCAGAGCTTGCTGACCAGTCAAGATGGTGCTGGTTGCTACTTTTTTGCTGGTGCTTTGATTTTAAGGTGTCACTGGTGAAGTCTTGTTGGAGGCCTGGGTCGTAGTGCAGAGCAGAGTGCTTTTGCGGCCGGTCATAAACCTGTAAAGGAGAAAAAAGCAAAAAAACCCAATAAGTTTACCTATCAATGTAAAAGCAATATGAATGCAACATAGAGCTCTTATTTACTTGGATTTGAAGGACAGCTGCTTTGAACTAATCTTATTCTCAGCTCTGCCATGCTTTGTAAAGCCTCCCCAAAAAGACACAGGTTAAATTTCCTTTCAGATTGTTGCTATGTTATATAAGTTTTTTTTTTCTTCCTGCAAACCTAAAACTCACCCAAATATTTCCATGAGCTTTTAGATCAGTAAAACAAGAGATCTGATTTGGTTGTTTAAATATTAAACAAAAGCCAAACATTCCCCTGATATGAAGCACTTGTGCACCCCATTCTCCTGCTGGATCATCTCTATTTTTGTGAGCAATTCCTCAGTTTGGGCCAGGGTTGCAGAATCAGACCCATTATTTGCTGCTCAGATAGTATTACAACATGGTGCTAGTGGAGGAAAAGCAGAAAATGAACTTGATCCTGAGGCGATTACAAACAAAAGTGTCATCAATGGGTTTGCTTTCCTTCGAAAGCTCAGAGAAATGCACAACAAGTCTGGTTCTGAATTTACAAGGACGTATTCACGTGCTTAACTTGAACCATGCGAGTAGTCCCAGCGAAGTCAATTGGACTACCTGCTTGCATCCAGCTAAGCACATGAATCACTCTTTGCAAGATCAGGATCTATATTAGTTTTTAACATCTATTTCCATTTAAATAATCTGTTAGAAGGGATATTTTCAATTAGTTTTTCCTTTTTTTTTAATCTGACAGCATCCTTTCAAACCACAGGGGTAGCAGTAAGGGTACAATTATGCTAAAGAATATTGCAGAGCAGATGAAAGCCCACATTTATTCTCTGTGGGCTTCCTTTAGATGAAGACATTATGTATGTTACCGACAACCTTTAAAAAAAACCCCTTAAAACAAAACAAACCCGCTTTGCTCTCCTTTACTGACAACATCTAGCCCCGTGCTAGCCTTTAGTCATTTGTTATTCTTATTATGCTTTCTTATGTATTTTTGTAAAGCTCCATCTCAAGCTGTGAAACTTATTTCATACATGTAGTATCGCAAGCAACTGTTCAATAGTAAACTGTGATTGTAATTAGACCACTGTGAATACCAAATAAATGATGGGATACTTAAAATAAACATGTAACCAAGGAAAGAACAGTAGAAGACAGCACTAAATATAGTATAGTACCACAATTGTGCTATTAAAGTTACATTTTATATCAGCAATTCTATCATAAACTCCTGCTTGGGGGATTTATAACAGGTACACTTGGGCCAAGTAAAGAGGTTTTGAGATCTGGGAAGCCTACTTTTCGGCAATGCTATGAACCTACAAATCTGACCGACTTCTACAGCGTGCCAATGGTGCCGCACGGGATGAGGCCTGGTGTATATTGAAGGACCTGTTAACATGCCTGTTCTTGGCAAACCGATGAGGACACGTCCGTAGTGAGTGTGTTAAAAACAAGCCTGGCCCTTTTGGAGTACGCGATAATGATAAAACTGTTCTGGTCCATCGTCTCGAGAAGGAATTGGGGACTCTTAAATTCCATGGACAGTTCAGCTGTGGTGCGTACGGACCAAGTGCACTCAGGAAAAAGAAAGGTTTCCAGGAAGTGTAGAGTGAGAAAACAGAGCGTGCAGCTGTGGTAAAAGGCAGGTGTTTAGGTTAGGGATATTCTTCTCAGCCTCAGCAGAGAGCCCAAGGGCTGAGCAGACTCTGCGGGATGGACTACAGCTGCTATCTAAAAGGAACTGACTCTCTTTGAGCTACATGGCGTCTGAAGCACAGGGAAAGCTTGCACTGTGCTTGCTCTGGGTGTTACAGAAGGATGCTAGTTGCTCCGTTGCAAGGGCTGCATATACGGAGGCTTTCAGTTTCCAGGGTTGTGAATCTCAAGAGCTTTCTTCAGGGAGACATGCAAGAATGGAGCCCATCCACCTCCAACCCCTCTGGTTAGTGAATGCAAAGGGCACTGAAATACTGCGCTTTATTTTAAACTCTTTGGTTAATAGTCACAGAGCTCATGAGATGCTCATTTTATGTCATGCACTCTGTGCTTCCCCTGCTGTTTCTCAGTCTCCAGGCCACGTTGTGGCTGAGACTGCAGTAGGGGACGAATGGCCACGAGAAAGGGCACAAGAAGCCATTCTAACCCACAGACGGGTCTCAGGAAGATGTAGGCACAGTTGTGGGTCCTCCTCACTTCCTCCCTACTCCCCTGCATGCAGAGTAGCTAAGGAGGTGGGGCTGAGTTATTTCTTCCCCCCACTAGGCTGCAAAGCAGGGCCACCATGAAGGAGGTGATGTATCATGAGCAACCTCCGGGAAGAAGCAGCTTCCCTAGGGGCAGCCTGAGGTTTACCTTTACCTCCACTCCAACACAGTGGCGAGGGACAGAAGTTACAAATTAACCAGTTTAAGTAATTAGAAAGTTTAAACCTGTAACAGAAAAAAAGTTCAGTGCACATAAACCAGTTTCAAAATGGCTGAGACTGGTTTAAGATAAACCTGGTTGAATGTAGTATCAGATTTAACTGATTTAGGTCAAACCAGTTTATGAAACTTCTGTCCCAGATCCCCTTCCTGGTTCAAGTTAAATCACAGTCCCTCAGCACCCCAGCACGCATGCTTTCCATCCCTGGGCTGGGCTGTGCTGTCTGCTCCAGCAGAGAAGGGTTGCAGGATAGGACGAGGTAAGGACTGCTTCCTCCCCCCAGCAAACCCCTGCAGAGGTCTGGGGGTGGCGAGGGGAGGAGGGAATTAGCTTTCCCTCCCCCAAGTATAGAGCTGCCCTGGCCTGCTAAACGTACTGCTGGCTGCAACTGTGGACTACAAATCCCAGAGGCACCTGGAAGCAGGAAGAGGAAGTGATGAGCAACCCACAAGTGTCCTGCTGCTGTGATTCTGGACTGCAAATCCCAGAGACCTTGGGGGCAGCGGGAAGGGGAAGGGAAAACACAGCCCATGCTGGCTATGTGCCAGAGAGCCGTGCTGTAGCGCCCCCCCCAGCGTATGGCCTGAGTCACTGCAGGTATGTGCCTGCACAAAGTAAATGTCTGCTCACTGGTTAGTCAGTTTAATCTCTGCAGCTCAGACTAACCTGCAAAGCCTGAATCGATTCAGCCTCGGGCTTTTTGACTGTCTGTACTTAGCCAGTATGGTGCCTCACAAGTACAAATGAACTCTTTATTCATGTGCTGACCCCGCTGCTGAGCCCAGCTGTGCAACCCTGAGTCACTATGAACAGTTTTCAACCTAAGAGTCCACAATCAGCCACGCAAACGGTAAAAACTCTTCAAGGCATGCGCCTTGCATGACATTTAGGCTCTACCAAAGTTACTGGGAATTCTCTTATCAACTTTAGTCAGGTCAGGATTATGGCCTTTGCTTTTAGACCAATCAGTCAAGAAGCACAGAGGGCAATGCAGTTAGATGTGGTCTAGGCCCCAGAGATCAGCAAGATTAATAGTTTCTAACTTTGAAGAAGCCCTAGATGTTAAGAACCAATCACCCATCGGTCTATTGGTGGTGTCTCTCCGATTCATCCATGTTGCATCAGTTTACTCCAGTGAAGAACAGGGCACTACTTTGTTCATCAAAGTGACTCTTTTTTAAGTTCCTTCCAAAACAGTAAGCTATGAAAATAAGTGACCTTTAAAATATTGTTTGAAAAAGTGAGGGTTACAGCACAGAGAGAAAACATTGCATGCTTCTGACTCCTTGCTTTCCCCATATCTGAGGTTTAAAAGAGGCACAGCTCTTTAATCCATAGTAACAAATACGTTCTGTGGAGTAGTGAGAACCTAAGGGCTACAATGGAAAACAAGCCTGACTTCTTGTGACTCGGGCACCTCCTGCTCTGGTTCCCTTGTCTTCCAAAGTGGAATTAAACAAGGTAACATGTAGCAGGGCTCTAGCTATAAGCCTTGCTCTAGCTGTAACACCAGCAAGGACTGCAACATCTCTGGTGTAATGCATGGAAATATGCAGTTATGACATCTGAGCTGCCAATCACGCTACTGTTAAATGCTATACACTACTTTCAAACAGAAGTAACCACTGTGGTTTCAACAGGACTTAGGAGCTAACCTGTTATGCACGCATTTGCAGAACCACGACCTCCATTTCTCACACGGTCTCTACAAACTACAGCTTTGCTCAAGCACGTAACGGCCTATTGGGCATCTCACTTAATGTGACTCCTCGGATAATGTTCGTATTATTCTCTCTCCCCTGCTAAACACACTCATGTCACTAAAGGAATTTGTCTGTATACGCTACCGCCGTGTAGAAACCAAAGATCACATGGCCTACAGCAGGTTGAATTTCAGTCCCTGCAACTGATACTTGAGGACCGTTTACTTAAAAGAACTGGCAAATCAGCTGAAAGTAATGCAGTTAAGTGTATTTTGTTCCCAATGTATCCATCTGGATCATTGCCTGATCCCATTGTTCCTAATGTTTCAGCTTCAATTTGCCCTGCTGGGTGAGCACCACAATCAAAGGGCACCGCGAACAAAGACAGAGCAACAACAAATGATCAGAAGTAATGGGGGGAAAATAGCGCTTTAAAAAAAAAATTAAAAGCAATCCTCCAGTCAAGATAGCTGCAGAGGCTACAGCTTTCAGTGGGGGGAGAGAAAACAAGGCTCTTCAGGAACCAGCTGATGGCTGTATCTTGTTGCCTTTCAGGGAATCCACTTCTTTGACTGTCAGCAAGTACATAATATATGGCAGCTTGCAGATCACTCCATCAGGCTGTTGGCTTCAATAGAGATCCTTTGTAGTTACATCAGCAGAACGAAGAGAAACAGCATGGTCTACTATGCATTTTTGGGGAAGTGAAGGATTTGTCCTTACTTAGCTTTCCATCTATCAGCATAATTTAGTCACCAAAAACAGCTCAGTCTTCGGTGCCCACCCCTATTTGCACGTCACTCCCCTTGAGACCCCAACTCAGGATCTCCT